CTGGCTCAACCATCAGTGCCTCCCTCATGGACATGCTTCACCCCACCACTCTGCACCCACTGCTACAGCAAGGCTCCATTTCCCCTCTGCTTGCTCCAGACTTCACACACCTTAATGTGAGGGTGTACCTGCTTCCCTAAGAAAAAGGCCACTAAGACAATTTGGGAGTAAACATCTTAAATGATGACAGTTTTGCCTTTCTCCCACTTAACCCGTCTCCCAACCTCTACTCATCCTGTTCTCCAATTTGCAGCCAGAATATTTCCAAGAAGTAATGCTGATTGTGTCAGTCTCCTACTTGAAACTTTTCACTGGCACCCTCCTGCGCCTGGGATAAGTCTGAATGGCACACAAAGCTGTTTGTGAGCTGGCTTCTGCTTATCTCTCCAGCCTTGTCTCTCACGCTCTATTCTTTTTCCTTTCTTTCCTGGCACCAGTTCTCCACTGGTGAGGCTGATGTTCTTGGCGTTGCCCTCACACACAGAAGGCTTCTGCCTGACATAGTCTTATTGTCCTGTCCGTCTCCCCAGTGCAAGTGCGCTTCATGGTTCATTCTGGCTCATCATTTAGACGTCTACTTGGAAATGGCTTCCTAGGGTCAGCACCTATCGTATCCCAAATGTGCCCAGGGCTCGTAATTTAGTTGCTGATATCCCTTCCTTCTAAACTGCTAAGGACTGTGCCTTAGTCACTGTTGTATCCCCACCTAGAATGCTGAATGTCACATAATAAGAGTGCTGCATGCCACATTCTGTAAACATTTGGTGAATGAATGAATGACCTACTGTATACTAGAACAATGGTTCTCAAACATATAGTCCATAGATTAGCAGCATTGTTTTCACCTAGAGATTTCCTAGAAATTCATCTTCTCAGGCCTCCCTGCAACCCTGTCAATCAGAAATGTTGGGTGTGGGGCTTAACAATCTTTATTTGACTAGGTCCACCAAGTGACTGAAGCACACAAACAGTGGAGAACCACTCTCTTAAAGCAGTTATACTCAGGTTGAGCTGCACATTGCAGTCACCTGCAGCATTTTTTAAAAGTTTTGCCCCTCACCATAAAGTTCTTATTGCATTAGGATAGTGTGGACTCTGGGATACTTTTTTAAAGCTCTCCAAATAATTCCTACATGCAACTGGGGTTGAAATTGGTTGTTGCAGTGGTTTAGTACCACCGTGCTGATGTCTAACATCTCTCCCAGGACAATGGAGCCAGGGCTCAGTATCAGATCCACCCTAACAACCAAAACCTCATTATTCAAGGGGATGGTACCTGTAACAACTGAGTTTGCCTCCCTTAGTAAATTATTGCAAATACAGAATCTCAAGCTCTACCCAGACTTCCTGCATCAGAATATGTATTTGAACAAGATCCCTAGGTGATTTATATGCACATTAAAGTTTAAGAGGCACTAGAGAGAGAGAGACAGGCAGAGGGAGAGAGAGAGAATATTGAGCATGATTTAACAAAGCAGTAAAGTCATATTTTCTAGGTGTTTAGTTCAGATACACAGCAGCATGGTCCAAAATATTTTGCCATAGCCTTCAATAAAACATTTCACCAGTGCCCAAAATGTAACCTCAAGGTCATATGGCTTCATGGGTTCCTAGTATAGAATAGGCTGCACGGCTGTTGACTTGACTTGGAGTTAACTGTTGGAAAGAAAAGGTCATTACTACAGAAGAGCATTGAAGAACCTGGGCCATCCAGGAAGATCTACAATTCAACATAATGTTTTATGGGTGCTTCTAGTCCAATCACATTTACTGAATGCTTACTATATTCTAGGCATCATGCTAAGTACTCAACACATGTTAAAATCTTTAATCTTCCCAATAAATTCCGCAAAGCATGTGCTGCTGTTACTCCCAGCACAGAAATAAGAATGGAAGTGAAGTCAGACACAGTTCAGGAGTTAGATCCAGAACTGAAATCTAAATCCATTTATCCCTGGAACCTGCTCATTAACCACAACACTAAGTCCAACAAACTACTCTAAGGAAAAGGCACAAAGGCCCCAAACAATTGCTTTTTAAACATTAGCTTCAAAGTCCCTGACTATTCCTCCAACAATTGGAAGAGCCAAAATTAAATAGGATGGTTGTCGTGCCAACCCACAGAAGTCAAATATAACTAGGCAGCAAACTAGAGTAAACATTTAGGAATCCCTTGCATGTGGCACACGACTCCACCCACCCTTCTTGGCACAAGCCTAGACGTTGATTATATGAATCCCGCTGGCACTTCATGTCCTCATGCGAGTCATTCAGTGTCCTCCTCGGTGCTGAACATGAACATGACCAGACTTATTGGAGTAATTTGGCATGCTTTGGTGGTGACTCAATGATGCAGACAAGGGCTCTGGCTTGTGCACTCCCCTCCCCTCTCCCTTTTTGTTCAAACACCTGGTAGAAATGGAGAGAGAAGAGATGTTTAGCGTGACAGTCAGGGCTGCAAGTCACCTTTCTGCAAACAGGGATTTCCTGAAGCTGTGTGTAAACAACTGGCCTGGAGCTGTCAACTATAGCTAAGTCACAGGCTCTGGGAATTACATCTCATCTCAACTGTTTGTGCGATAAGGCAGGGGAGGGAGGAGAATGCATCCAGCTGCCTCTGTTTGGAGCTGAATTTATGCCCCATATTTGCCAGGCAATCAGTTGGGCTCATCTTTCCCAGCATTCCATTCCACTGACTACCCCCCCAACACCACCAATACAATGAGGTTTTTGCATGTTAACCCAACTTGTAGGCAAGGGAGTTTCCCGTGAAAATTCCCTGAGCACTGGTCCAGCTAGGAGCTGTGAACATTTATATGGTCCTTCTTTTGGCTGGGTCAGAAATACCCATTGCCAGCCAACCTCTGACAAAAGATTGGCAGGGCTTCGCTCATGGCACCTTCACTGATGTACGTGGATGGAGTAATTCAGACATTTTGTATTAGACTTCACAGCCCTGCAGCATAATCTTCATTAAGAATCTGCTATTACTAGTGTCTCTAATTCACACCACAGCTTTCATTAAGTATGTATTATTATCAACATCTCTAATTCATATCACAACTTTCTTTGGAATAACCCAAAGGATTGCCCATAAACTCATCAACGCTGTTACTGAAAGAAAACTGGAGATAATCTTGTCTCAGTCCTTTCTTTTGTTTTGTTTTTATTGTTGTGATTTTGTTTGTTTGTTTTGTTTTGTTTCTTTCCAGTACCGGGAATCGAACTCATGACCTCGTGCTTGCCAGGCAGGCGCTGTGTCACTGAGCTAAATCTCTAGCCCCTAAGTCCTTTCTTTCACTGATGAAGAAATTGGATTCCAGATAACTTGACAGCTTGCCCAACTTGTGCAATAAATGGCAGAGCCAAGCACAAGGTCCGGGTTTTTGATTACCATGCCAGGGGCCAGCCGTACTACTGGAGTAGACAAATAGGTTTTGGCTGTTGAGAATCCTGGAGAGATTATGCAAAGATACAGACCTCCTGGTCATACTTTAACAAGTGCTGATTTAGTGGAAATCTAGAACAGAACACAGAATCTGTATTTTAATGGGCATCTTGCTGTAAAGTCAGGAATAAGATTGACTATGCAAAGTAAATTTCAGCATCAGACATTTCTTAAGTATATGGACAAAAATCTTGAAACATGCTTAAGGTAGCTATAGTAGGCTTTTGAACAACCAGGTCTTTTAACTGGTGGTACAAGGAATGCTTGGTAAATGTTGACTTTCCTGAAAGTGAACTTTTTTCCCTTTCTTTCAGAACATCCATGTGGTCAAAACAGGCTTACAAGCTCAGAAAAAGTAAAAAGACCAGATGTAAAGTCCCTTGAGTTATCCAACAATATATGTGGATTCCAACAGAAATCTTGTGTGTATACTTTCTTCCTCCTCTGAGCTAATGTATGGGAGTGAGCCTAGAGATTATGACACAAATACAGAACTAATAATAGAAGACATCTCTCAAAGGCAGGTGAATGAGTATTTTTGAGGCTGGCAACTTTTCTCTTATTCTCCCTTTGTGTTTCCCCTCCCTTTGTACATTAGCTGGTAAAGACTGTAGGGAGCATTTATCATAATTTTATTTATTTATTGAGAGATCATAGCTCCATCTTTAAAGTTGGCCCACTGGTCAGTGGGGGGTGAGCTAAGTAAAGGAGACCACCATCATTCATTATTAAAAAGATTAGAATTTCAGTTACTTTTCAAAATCTGAATATAGCTCTCCTGATGGTTTGTCATAAATATAAAAATTTTAGTCACTTTTTCTACATGTTTTAAATGACTTAAGGAGAATTGGATTCTTCAGAACAGAGGTATCATCCTTAAAAACAATTTGACAATTAATCCAGTGGCATATCAAAGGAACGTGTCTTAGGAAAACTGTGAGGTGTATAAACCCTGTCTTTGGAGGACTCCAAATTCTCATTTCTGTACAAGGAGCATCTCTGATCCATCTCTTTGGCCTCTAAGCATTCTTTTTTTTTTCAAGAAAGGAACAGAAACTTATTAACACCAAGGTATTAATGCCTGATGACATATTGGAAGGTGATGACACTTCCCATGGCTTTGAGCTATGGCACACTTAAGAATGAGTGGTTCCACCAAAACATGCTCACTAAATAGTCATTCTTTATAAATAATGTTCTATGATTGAATGTTGCATTCTATTTCCAACTTCCCTTTGCGTTCATCCACGCTAGGGATGTATCACTGTTTATTAACATCGTAGGCAGGAGTTAAACCCCAATCTATCTCCCCCCCTCAGCCCCTCTTTTTTTTTTCCCTCAGGGAGATATGAGGATCCCACTCTTCCTGTATTGCTCCAAGACTAGAGCTTGGGATTTAAGCTGTTCCAATCAGCACCATTCCTTCCATGGCAACAGTGGTTGGTTCAAAGTTAGTCCTGTGATCAGGCCAGGCCAATGAGAGTGAAGGACAAAGCTTTGCTGAAGAGGAAGAAGACTGTGGAATATTACAGCAAAATGCTTTCTGTTTTGTGCTGGACAGGGCTTGTCCCTTTGAGAGCTGCTGGAAACCACAGGGTGACTATTGGAAGAGTGCAAAACATTGGAATATATAGAGGTAGGAATTTTAACCTTTTAAAAATTCTTTTTCTCAGCCTACCTGTATTATCATATCTAAAATCTCTGTCTCTCTCTCTCTCTTTCTCTCTCTCTCTGTTTCTCTTTCTCTCTCTCTCTATACATATATATACACAAATATATATCTCCCCTTACTGTCTGATACTATACATAGTATACTATACTAATTATACTGTACTATATTATACTATACTGTTTGGTAATAAATTGTAAAAACAATGGCCCTTTACCTTAAAATATTTCATCATGAATATCCTTAGCACATCATCTTATTCCCTTATATAATCACAATGGAATGAATAAAAGCAAAAAGTTTAACAATAACATAATACTATTCTCTAAATCCATAGCTCATAATCTAATTTTGCCAATTGTCCAAATAATGTATTTTATAGATACTTTATTTTCCTTCTCCAGATCCCAATCTATAAGTACAGCATTTCATTGGCATCTCCTTTTATACTCCTTTAATCTGAAATATGTTTTTGCTTGCTGTTTTTGTCTTCTATGTTTGACATCTCCTAAGAATCCAGGTTAATTTTTTATTAGTGTCTCTCAATAAGATTTGAAGGAGAGATTATTTTAAGTATTCATATACTTAATGGAATCTCAGTGCATCTATGTGTATTACATGGAAGATATACAATATTCATCCTGCATACTTTCTAGCAGAATATATGGCTTGTGAAAGGAGGCATATATGTAAAGTATTACTGAAGTATTATATCAAGAGGAGGAAGAATAACAAATTTGCAATTTTTGAAGTGATGCAGTTTCACAACCTGTTCTTTACTTTCTTCCTAACCACCAACAAACTAAAAATGAGCAGAAATTATGTAATTCTTGTATTAGGGTGAATAGGACACATATTTATATGCCAATAATAGGGAACCAGCTATTTTTCACTATGTTCTCCAATGAAAGGAATGGAATCAAAATATTAGAAGCAGGATTTTCAACTAAGAGTTCATATCAGCAAAAACTATGAAATGCTGGCAACCACATAATATCTGAATGCTGAAGTGGGAAGAGCTGCAGACAAGGAGCCCAGAGCCAGGATCCTACTCACTCTCTGAGTGATGGCTGGCTAGATGCCCACTCTCTGGAGTACAGTTTCTTTATCTATAAAAGGAGAGGTTGGATCAGATTCTCTCCAGTGTCCCTTCCAGCTCAGTGCATCTATGAAAGGTTCATATCTACATCAGTCAGAATCTGATCAAATGCCAGACTAGGCAGCAGTTCAGAGAAAGAGGCTACCCATATGTGTCACAATAATGGGAGGTTTGGCAAGAGACCTGCAGGTGGAGGGGACTCACAAGGAACTATGAGGAGTCTGGCAAGCAGAGGGAGAAAAAGGGTCTGCTCCAGTGGAGAGCAGCCCAAGAGACTGCACCCTCAGAAATGAGCATGCATAGAGGTATGAAATGGGAATCTGAGCAGATCAACAGTGTAGGTGCGGCACAGTCGGCCTCTTTCTTGTGGCCACTTTTAGCTACTGTGGAAACTCTCACTGCTGTACTGTGTGATGATGACTATGCATAAACAGGAATACATGGACACTGTATCACTATTCATGTGCAGTGCTTCATAAGAAATATTTTAAGCTGTTTTGCACCAATATCCACATGGAAACTTCATCTATCGATAGAAACATTTTCTCCCACTTAATTAGCTCTCTTTTCACAGATCTTAAAGCTTCCTCTGTCTGGACAACTCTGGTTCCTGCTATTGATTGGGATTCTCAGCTGTGGAGATGATGCATTTTGCTGAAAACTGATTCTAGGTACATGAGTTCACTTGATCTTTGTTAGTTCTTCAGTTTTGACTTCTTCAATCTTATATATGGTATAACTGAAGTCATTAAGAATCTACCCACTTGCTTAAGACTAGGATATGAGACTGAAATTCTACTTTTATCCTCTCCGTGGACTTATGCATAATATTTTCATTGATCCTTGTAAGTAATGCTTTACTCTGTGAAGAGAGTGGATGGGGCTTGAGAACTGGGGAAAAATCTCAAGGACCCCATCCCATGCAGATCTGTTCAGCACAAATCTGATCACTCATATCAACTTCAATGAGATACTCTGAGCATGATTTATGGACAAAAGAAAAGTGATAATCAAAAATATGAATTAGCCAATTAGAAGCTAAACAATACTATTGAAATGATTTTTGAAAACTATTTACTGGTAACTTGAAATATTTTTGCATAGGACCAGGGATATAGCTCAGTGGCACAAGCACCTGCCTGGCAAACGCAAGGCCTTGAGTTCAATTCTCGGTACCAAAAAAAAAAAAAAAAGAAATACTTTTGCATGTATTAGGGCATATTTGGGGCCAGAAAGGTTATCTTAATGTATTTTGGCAATAAATGATCAATTCTATTTTACACACAAATCATGAATTATGTCTATAAACAGGTAACATAAAGTACAAAGAAGGGAAATTGCTTAAAGGAGAGAGGTGATAGACTCCTGAGGAAGTTTTTAAATAGGTACAGTATTACTTCTCAGTGGCAGTGGTTGTAGACACTTACATACATGGAGTGCGTGTGTGGGGGTATTTTTGTGATGAGGGTGTGGGGGATGGAGGATGCTGAACTTTTAAACAATGATTTATGTCCTTTGGAGTAGTATTTTACACACCTCTAGACTTAGTGGAAGAAGATGGTAAATCTCAATATATATACTGGAGTAGAGTTGTAAATTCTTATTGATGGCTGTTAACTTTATTCTTATAAATAGAACCTCCTTCCTTCTTTCCTCCCTTCCTTTCCTCCTTCCTTGTTTCCTCTTTCCTTCCTTCCTTTCTTCCTTCCTGCTACCCTCCCTGTCTCCCTTCTATTTCATTGCGTAAGGTGGGAAATTTTTTTCAGTGTGAAATAAAAGTGACCAGAAACTGTTTTGCACTAATACACAAAAATAAGGAGATCGTTAGGAACTATGAGGAGTTAGAATCTTATAGAGACATTAGAACCTTATAGAGACACAAGACCAAATACTATGTAGAAAACAGGATTCAAAATCTTTATTTTTAATTAAGCTAGGAAGAGAATCATCTTCTCTATGTAGTATTCTCTTAGAATCTGAACATGTGAAACTCCTACATCTTTGTCTTCAAAATAAAGTTGGCTTTCAAAATATGCATTATTCAGTTTTTTTAAAGTTAATTTCTATATGCTAGAAACAAATAGGACTTTTTAAAACCCATTCCAAATCAAATGCCTGTAAATGAAGTCTTATTTCTTCATTTACTTTTATATAAAAAAAACTGTTGGCAAAATCTGTATGAGATTCCTGTGGCTGCAGTAACAAGCTGCCAACAGCTTAGTGGATTAGGATGAATTTATTTTTGCAGAACAGATTTCCTAAAGGCAAGGCATCAGAAGGACTGGGTACATTTTAAGGCCATAGCGAGGGAATCCATTTCCTCCATTCTCTTAGCTAAGAATTTTATTTTTGTTTGTTTGTTTGTTTTGTTTTTTGTTTTTTGTTTTTCTCCGGTACCGGGAACCGAACTCACGACATTGTGCTTGCCAGGCAGGCGCTTTTGCCGCTGAGCTAAATCCCCAGCCCCTAGCTACGAATTTTAAACATCTCATTGAATGCCTATGACAGCCCAGGGAGACTGGTCTCCTGAGTCTCACACCTACCAAGAAGTAGAGCCGGAATTTGAACCAAGCCAAGATCAGGGAATCTGTGCTTTGAACCTCACACTGCAATTCTTTTTCATCACAAAATATCATCAACTTATAAACTGTAGAATACTATATATATATTGCAACTTTAGGATTTAATTGATATGATATTTTCAAAAGTGAAGGAGATATTTTAAAGCTTGATGTGGTTGCTTTAAAGATCTAAATGAAAAAAATGTCTAAGGAGCATGAAATATAGCACTTATGCTCTCTAATGCTTGGCTACTATTACCTAATAAATCATTTCTTCCATATCATTCTTGATATGGAAGCAAATTGTACAGAGACCTTATTGACAGCAATTAGAGAAGTAACAAAGAGCTCTAATATAAAATATTGCATTCTTTAAGTGGACAGATGAATAATTAAATGTGGAAATGCAAATGAGGCTCATTTATTCTATTCATACAATTTGATATTACTAGTGTTTAATGAAGTAGCGCACTTCCATTTTTCTTTGTGGTATTAGGGATGGAACCCAGGTCTCACACGTGCTAGGAAAGTGCTCTGCCATTGAGCTCCATCTGCATCCTCACTCTCTCAACTAATTTGTTTTCTTTAAACAGGCCAGCGTTTCTTTGATTCTTGTCCCCCAAAGAATGGCAACATTAAATAGTATTGGTTGAATTGTTGTATAAGCTGAATTTGCAGGTAATACTATTCTTCACTGTACTGAAGTCTTATTGCCCTCTGGATTGCCAAACAACTCTGACAAGGATATTTAGATGTTACAATAAGAACAGCTCCTGTAATGTCTTTGTTACTAAACAGGGAAGCATTCAACATTTTAGTTAAGTAGATACACTCACACACACACACGCACACACACACACACTGAGTAGATGCACACATGTGCGTGTGCACAGTTATGCATTGCTTAAAGACAGAGACATCCTGAGAAATGCATAGTTAGGTGATTGATCAAATGGCATAGAGTTTGAATACACACCATACACACACCTAGCTCAGCAACCTACTGCCTGCCTAGGTTGCATGGTGCAACCTAGTGTTCCTAGTTTCCAAAGCTATACAATATGTCATTGTACTGAACACTATAGGCAACTGTAACAGCATGGTAAAGATTTGTATATCTAAATGCATCTAGACATAGAGATGATACAGTAAAATTACTAGGCAATAGGATTCGTTTCAGTTCCAATATAATCTCAGGACACCACTGTTGCATATGTGGTACATTATTAAAATAAAAGTTGTGCTCCACGTGGCTGTGTATGGTTCTTTGTAAGGAAACAGTGGCTATGTTTGGCTAAATCTTCTCATAACTTTCTAAGTCATCCTTTCATTTCTTTGCTCTTGGCATCCTCTCCCTTCTGAGCAAACAAACCAACACCAAGCATCTCCTGTTATTCACTGATTCAGTACAGCAAGACCCCTGCCTCACGCTTGGTGCTGAAGATGGATAAGATGTGATCTCTATTCCAATCAAATAACAAACAAGGAAAAAGCTGGTTTGGAAAACAAAGTACTGTGGCCTATACTGTAACAGAATTGTGTGCAGAATGCTGTGAAGTTTTGCCAGGGCATTGCTTAAGGGAGGTTTTGAGCAGTGTTTTCAGAATGAGCAAGAGTGTCAAGGGCCACCTTCAAGGACATGCCAGGGAGAGTGTGCTCTCAGGGATGAGGAGGTCAACAAGGGCAGATTATGAAATGCCCTTATCTATGCTAACAAGTCTAAACTTGATCTTACAGGTAATTGAGGACCATAAAAGGTTTTTAAATTGGAATGTGACATGACCCACCCCAATATAACTCATACCTAAACAGCTTCTGATACCCCAGAAAAATTCTTCCATGTTTTCCCTGTATTTGCCCTGAAAAAAACTTCCTGATACAGTTGCAGAGAAACTGGTTCCAGGAATCCCACAGTCCCCAGAATAATGTAAGTCTAAGCGCAGTCCTTAGATGCAAAGTCCCTTTGGCCATTGCTTCTTCTATGTAGCTGTTGTGGATGGTGTGTGTGTGTATGTGTATTACTAGGGATTTAATCTAGAGACTTAATGCTGAGTTACATCCCCAGCCATTTTCATTTTTTATTTTGAGACAAAATCTTGCTAAGTCACTAGGTTGTCTAAGTCACTAAGATCCACCTGTCTCAGTCTCCCAGTGTGTTCAGATTATAGGCATATGCCACCACACCCAGCTTGGTGGGTTTTACTCTGCTGCTTACAGTCTGTGGGAAGGTTGGGGACCCTGAGGGTCCAGGACTCTATCCTTTTTCAACCAAAGTAGCTAGCTTGGATTTGTTACACATGCTTGTTTTCCTAGATGAGGTCTCTTCTGGGAAGAGAAGAAACTCAACTACTGAAGTAGACATCTTGACACGCTGCTCAGTGAGTGCTGAGGTGAAACATCAGTGAGGATCTGGTTTCCAGTTCACCTCCACCATTCACTCGTAGATGCCGCTCATAGAGGGCTTGAAAGCCACATGTAGGTCAGTTTTCTTTTGTGCTTCCATAGAATCCTAGAACGAGGAGTGACTTCAGAGACCCAGAGAAATTCAGTCTTGCCTGATGCTACTGAACAGCAGTGTCAGGAGGGACTCAGTTGTCCCAAGGGCCTCCACCACCACACCGCCTCCCCCCACCTCCATGACAAACACCTACCAACACCACCTGAGCCACCTGCATCTCTCACTGAGACCTCATCAGTAACCCTGACCTGTCTTCTACTTCCAAACCAAGTCTCCTCACCAAGCACAACTAGGGTCATCCTCTACCAATTTCCAGCTCCAAACACAAGAAAAGTGGATCTGTATTATGCTATTCACGGGGTTATGGGATCATAGGCACTGGGGTGAACTCTTTCAATGTAGAAGATATTATTTTTATTTCTAATCCAAAAGCTAAATAAAATAAAATGAACCTGCTTGAGAAGCAAGGTGAGGCTACTGAGCATTGCCAAGTGTTTCAGGGAGGCCTCTCACCACTTCTAAGGTCCTCCCTTCATTTCCTCTTCCCCTTGCCCTGCAAAGCAAGACAGACAGGAGCTTTGCAGAAAGGCCCTCTGGCCTCTGGCCCTCTCAGGGAAAAGAATCACAGAGAAAGGAAACTGAATACTGCCATCTGCTGGGGAAAAGGGGCACAGGGTGGAAACGCTCAGGAGACAAGGGAGAAAGCAAGTAATTGGAAGAGACAAAAGCTGTCACTTAAACTGAGGAAATGCTGGAGAGTAAAAAGAAAATAAAGGCCCAGGAGGCAGAGTGGAAGAGGAAAATGTGATGGGCAAACTTAAGGGGCACTTTCCCCTTCCATTTTAGAGGAGAAAATCAAAGCCCAGGAGATTTGAAGAAAGCACTTGCTGTTACTCAGCTGCAGAGCAAGGGCACCAACACTAGAGCTCTTGCTCAATTCCTGATATGTTGTTTTATATCACACTTCTACCTTGGCAAACAGGTGGCCACAGGTATGGAGCACTGTGTCTCCACTCTTGGTTGCTTGAGAAGGGATGCATCTATCTGTCTCTGAATATTTGAACTGACTCATGTTCTAATTTGTTTCAGAAGTATTGACGATGGTTAAATGAGAAGGTGGTGACTGGCACCAAAATCACTTATGGATGAGATATACGGAGAGGAGACAGAAGGCAAAGAGAGAGCGTTTGCTGTCTGGACTGGAGAGGGAGCAAGATGAAGAGCCGTGTCACACTCTCACCTCTTGCCAATAGCACTCACTGCAGGAGCCGGCTCCTATCTGTGCTTGGAAGAGTCCTAGTGACCTGAACAAACCCAACAGTGGCAGCATTGTCACCAAATGAAGCCAGAGAATTGCATGACAGACAGATTCTGACCATATCTACCCTCCTTTCTGTTACCACACAGGCCTGAGCCACATCAGCTCTTCCCTGGACCATGGCAATAACCTCTTACCCAGTCTTCCTGCTTCTCAGCTTGGCGTTCTCAAAGGCAGCCAGAGTCATCCTGTCATAACTTGCGGCCTCCAAACCGTCCAGACCTCCTTTCCCTAACTCACTCATCAGTGAATGGAAGTCCTTAAATTTAAGATGTCTCGCCCCACACAATCTGGTCACCATCTCTCCCCCTGCCCTTTGTTTATCCTTTGCTCAGTTGGGGATACATCACCCCCTCCTCCAGCTTTCTAACCACATGAACACCCAGCACAGGGTATTTTAACTGACTGTTCCCTCTTTCTGGAAGTTTTTTCTCCCAGAGGGATGCATGGACAGCTATTTCATTTCCTTCTGGTCTCTGTCCAAATGTCATTTTCCCATTCAGCCTACCTGCATTTAAAATTGCAGTCATAAGCTCCGTTATTGTGTTTATACAATTTTATGGCACTTACCACTTTAACACAGTCTATAAGAACTGATTCTCAGAGTAGAACAGAATCAACAGGAAGTTGGGCCTAAGTGAAGGGTGACTTATGAACCCCTCATTCTCAGAAAATTCAGCAACTACTTATTCATAGCCCCGGGCTCCCAGGATCTTCCCTTTTAAGATGCTATTTGCTGGTCACAGAGTGTTCAGATAGAAGAATAAACTATTTAGAAAATCAGACTGGATTCCAGTTGCGGAAGACCTCACAGAGAAACTTTGTTTAAAAGGATGATAGGAACAATCAACAGCTTTGTTTCCATTAAAAAAAATTAATCGACAATAATTGTATATGTCTATGGAATACACTATATAGTATACAGTGTACAAAGATGAAATCAGGATAATTAGCATATCTATCGCATCAAACGTTTTTATTCCTTTGTGCTAGGAACGTTCAAAATCCTCTCATACCTATTTTGAAGTTCACAACAATTATTGTTAACCACAGTGCTCTTCTTAACTATATATGTCATATAGCCCTACTGTGCAGTAAAGCTTGGTTTGATCCAGCACAAATGTCTTCAACGGGAAGAAGGAAGATGCTAGGTGCCAGGGAGCCCTGAGCCAGCGGGGACCAGTAACACATCCTTGGACCAGGCATGGTACCTCTCTGCCCTGGGTCCATTCTTTGGAGAGCTCAATTCTGGCCTTTCTCCGGCAAAGAATCTTCAGGGGCAAGTGAATGTCCTTTCCTGGGGCCCATGTCCTTCCACCTACATGGCATCACAAACATCTCAGACCTGAGTACTCCCTGCCCGAATGGCTCTGAACCTGTACCTCAGACCTGCAGCAGTCTTCTGACCAGCTCTGTCCCCTAAGGGACGCATGGTGTGCACATGTTGAGACTCAGGGCTGTTGGAGGACTGCTGCTTGGGGTAGGGGTGGAAGCGTGGGATGTGGGGTGGATATGTGGGTGGGCTCCCTCTTGTGGACAAAGCCAGAGAGCTGAAAGAGAAGGGCAAAGGCCATAAGATGGGGCTCCATTTCACCCTTGTGCTGGCCCCAAGTCTGGGGGCCAGGCCTGGTCAGCACAGCCCCTGTGGGAGGCAATGAGAGCATGATGAGAGATGACCACAGGGATGGGGCGTTGCAGAAAGAAAACCTTACAGCTTAGTCACTTGCTGGGGGCTGCCCTGCCAGCATGTGGTATCTCAGGCTGCTTTTCAGGTCCAATAATTACAGGTCTCACCTAGGAACGGGATGGGGTGGAGCCGACGTAAAATGGGTGAGGTCCTTTGGGAAAAGGTGGTTAGGTGTCCGAGGCTATAAAACCTGGGCACCGGCCGAGTACAAGGA